TGATTGATTGATTGATTGATTGATTGATTGATTGATTGATTGATTGAATAAGCTGTAACGATTATGGATAGGTGGATGGACAAGTCTGCTCTCTAGCGCCTCCGTTTTCAAATGGGTGTTGCAGCTACGGTAGCCGTCAGGCCTAAAGAAGTAATGGCTACATGACTTCCACATCATGGAGTATTCTCTGGGTGATGAGGTTTGTCATTTAAAAGAAAGCATGATCCTCCATCATGGACTAAAGTGCAATGCGAGCTTTCCGATTTTCCGGGTAGTTACTAGCATGCTAGTTACAACAAGCGACGGCCTCTCACTTATGATAGCTAATTCAGTCACGTGACTGGCTCTGAAGGAAAACACGTTGTGGATTAGCTAAACAGGCAGACTAGTGCCTAATGTCCCTCTCTGCGATTATAGTTTTTTTAAATGGCGGATCGCCATGGAAACCTCCGTAGACTTACACGTCCTGTGGATATACAGATAGGAAATTCTTCGCTTATGAGGAGAAGTCAGATCATTGCAGAGGTTATTTTACACCAAATGAGGACACATTTAGAAATGAAGACATTTATTTTTGTGATAATCGTACTTGGGTTCTCCCCCACGAGTTCCCTGGAGCCGGAGCCCATCACCCCGTCTACTTGTGTAGTGGGTGCAGCCTCATGGGAGATAGAGTGAGTGGTCAAGGACGCCCAGAATACGTCTCTGGACCCTGGCACTGGTCCTCCGAACAGACTGTTTGTCCCTCCATCAGTTCGGTCTCAGGTCCTCCAGTGGGGACACTCTTCTAAATTAGCCTACCATTCCGGGAGCCTACCTAACCCTCATCTTCCTTCGTCAGCGCTTTTGGTGGCCAGGCATGGCCAAGGAGACCCTTGAGTTTGTGGCTGCTTGCTCAGTATGTGCCAGAAGCAAAGCGTCACACCGCCCCCCTGCTGGTCTGCTGCGCCCATTACCCAACCCAGGTCGCCCTTGGTTACACACAGCAGTGGACTTTGCCACCTGGTTCCCCCCATCTGAAGGTAATACCATCATCCTTACAATTGTTGACAGATTTTCCAAGTCTGTGCACTATGTTCCCCTTCCCAAATTACCTTCAGCTCTAGAACGACTACCTTACTAACCAACCATGTATTTAAGCGCCATGGGATTCCTGTGGACTTTGTGTCTGATGGAGGACCACAGTTTGCTTCTCGGGTTTGGACCGCCTCCTGTAAGGCGGTGGACGCAGCAGCCAGTCTCTCTTCAGGCTACCACCCACAAACAAATGGACGAACAGAGAGGGCCAATCAGGACCTGGAGGCAGCATTAAGCTGCGTGGCCACCCGTCACCCCATTTCCCGGAGTTCATTCCTTCCCTGGGCTGAATATGCCCATAACTCCCTCACCTGCTCTGCCACAGGTATGTCCCTATTTATGGCATGTCATGGTTTTCAACACCCATTGTTCCCAGTACAAGAGGAGGAGGTGGAAGTGCCTTCTGTGAAAGAGCATCTGCGCAGGATTCGGGAGGTCTGGAAGGACGTCAGAGCGCCAGATGTTTGACCTGCATCAATCCCCTGCACCTGTACAAGTTCAGACAGATGGTATGGCTCTCTTCACGTGACTTGAGACCCTTGAGAGCCTTGAGAGCCTTGCTCCCCTAGGACACCTCATTCCCCCATTGGACCTCTGGCACCTGGACCTGGCATACCCTCACCGGCTCCCTGGTACCTTCACCCTCCCTCCTAACCAATAAATCACCCGTTATTTCTTCTGCTTTTGCGTCCAGTCTTCACTTGTTCCTTAACAAATTTTAGCTAATAAAATTCTTCAAATACTACATAATGTCCCTTTAAGGGTTCTTTTTCTTTCTCATGGGGCTTTTTCCTCCTTCAAGGTCTCAGAGAAAGTCTCCTTATACTTTATCTCTTGATGTTTAGGTTGTGGATTGTTTGGAAAAGGTGCAGGTTCGTTCCGTAAATGATGAGGAAAATATATAAATAGCTCATTTCTTTTTTTTTTTTTTTCAAACTTTGTTTATTGAACATTTTAAACTTAGGACAGACATTGTTGGAACAAGTAAAGTAAATAGCTCATTTCTAATGAAACAAAACACATGTACTTGATTTCAGTATTTTATTTGAAATTTTATTTTTGGTTACGGTTATATTGTCAAATTGTTAGCTGTTGAAAAAAATCACATTTGATTATCATCTTTTTTATACATAATGGTCAAAATGATCTTCCACTTAAAAGTGGCACAGTAGACTTTAATATACTTAGCCCAATAATTAGATTAAAGGTACGTTTGCCAATAAAGTCTGCTGTTAACTGTTAAGGAGAAAGTGGTAGAGTAGAGTTTAATATACTTTGCACAATAATAAGATAAATTGTGCATTTGTCAAAAAACTCTACTATTGTCATGGAGAGATGTTACTGTGTTACTTTTGACCTTTATTTCTAGAATTATGTTGATGTTAATTCAATTGAATTCAATTTATATAGTGCCATATCAAAATAACGGTTATCTCACAGCGCTTTTCAGAAAGAGCCGGTCTAGACCGGACTCTGAAGTTTTTTACAGAAGCCCAACAATTCCCACCAAGAGCAAGCACTAGGCGACACAGGCGAGGAAAAACTTCCTTTAAGAGGCAGAAACCTCGAGCAGAACCATGGCTCAGGGTGGGCGGCCATCTGCCTCGACCGGTTGGGGGTGACAGAGAGAGTAAGAGAGAGAGAGAGAGAGAGAGAGAGAGAGAGAGAGAGAGAGAGAGAGAGAGAGAAAGAGAGAGATAAGTGGGGGTTTATTTCAAGGGGGTCTTAAGGACAAGGGTTCTTAGGGGGATGTGCTTTTCGCTGCCCACCAATCCTGATGGGTTGAAGAGGTGGTTTGATTTGGGGAAACTTTTGCTGCCCATGATGTAAGATATGTATTCTGTCAGGTGCCCTCTTAGACGTCTCTATGGTGTTAATGTTTCTTAGTAACCTAGATACACCTGTAGTGTATCCAGAGGGACGAGGCGTTAGTGGTGGATGTGGTTCAGATTGGGTCTCCTTTTGCTGCCCACGAATCCTGATGGGTTGAAGAGCAGATTTGATTTGGGGAAACCTTTGCTGTCCATGATGTTGGATAGCTTGTAGATCTATTCCGTCAGGTGCCTCCTTAGACTTCTCGTCCATAGCGTTGTAGTTTCTTAGTAAC